ACAATTAAAATATATATTAGAAAAATGTATAAAAGGTTTATTTATACCAAAACATCTATGGATGATTTACAATGAAAAATTCTGATGCATCAAGATACGCACTTATATGACAAATGCTTGAAGTTATCAAATAGATATTATATCATAATAAAGAAAAGTAAAATTTAAAAAAAAGACAGCGAATTGTTTGTTTCACTAACTACTGAAAATAGTTTCTTTTATTTAATTGATATTGATGATTGTAAAGAAAGACATCTTTTCTGATCACAGGTAGAGGAAATGATGAATTAAATGCTGATGGTGGTAAATCAATTAAACTACTTAAATTTTTCAAACGTAGATTTGTTTCATCAAATGTATAATATTCATCAATTTTTGTTTGATTATTAACAACACAATTATTCTCAGCAGAAATATTTCGACTATTACATATTGATATTAGAGGTATGGAATTATTTGTTGCGATATAATTTCCACTAATAAATAATTTATTTGTATTATCACATTGTAAAAGTTCTTGACTGTGTATTCCAAAATAAAATGTTGAAGATTCTATTCGAATATCATTAATTACTGGAACTAATTGAGGTGAATCAGGTAATATAGTAATTATACCTTTTCCTTGAGCAATACCTTCATTATTATCAATATAGATATTTTCAATCAATGAAACATTTCAAGCTTCAGGACCTTCATGCCAATACATTGATGGTTGAATAAGAACAGCAGGTCCACTTGTTCGATAAAATAATGATTGTCTTATATCAATATTTCTTGTTTCTAACAAAACTCCTCGAGCACGATTATTTGCAACAGTAAAATTTCGTATAGTTAACGTAGGTGTATTAGCAACACAAGCCCAATCACCAACATTGACAGATACTGGATTTGTAAAAATTATTTTTCGTGAATTTGTAGAATTAAATATTAATAAAGCAATTGTTCCATTATCATGAACTGTAAATGGTTGTTGATTATTACTAAACTCTAAACTTGTACCAACTCCAACATCAAGTGGATCAGTCCAATTCATTGCTTAAATAATAATAGTATTAGAATTAATAACTTGTGTTACAAGAAAAAAAACTGCATGAACATTTAAACCATCATCACCCATCGCTTGACATTTACTATCAGATATAGAAACATATTCTCTTGTATCTGTAAAATGCATACAATCTACAATTATACTCATCCAACGTCCATTTTGTGGTAGAACGTAATAATTATTAATATTTAACCGTTTAGCTCTTAACGTAACAAAACCCATTCCCCATGATGTATAAATAGTTATCGATTGAATAGTAATATCAGTTATATCTTGACCATAAATAACATAACGAGCAACAACAGGATCTCCTTTAAGAAATTGTGTAGACGATCTCAATGGTAAACGTAATATACTAGGTGAAACAAGAGTAGTATTAGCATCGGTAGGAGGTGATTGATAGATTTCATATGTATTTGAACCAAAAGCTGATCTCATTTTGTATTGGATCATATCGAAGAATAGCTTGAACTTGTCGATTAATATCAGCTTGATGAAGTGGTACAACTTGAATATGTACATATTTGTCATCGACATTAACTATATAACCAGCTGTAAATGGAAGTGAATTATAATCAATGGAAAATGAAGTCAATTTTAATCCTTGACAATATTGAGCAAAAAAGATTGATACTTGATTATAACCAATTAGAAATGTTTGATTAATTCCTTCGCCTCTTCTTGTTAAATTAGCTGCATTAAATATTAAAATTGTTGATGATATTGAATATATATCATATCCAAAAACAATATTACTAACGAATTCATCATTGATTGCTTCATTAATAGCTAATTGAATTCCATTTGTATCATCAAGATCATCATTTGGATAAGCACCATAGTTCGAGACCAAATATATTTTTCCTTTAGTCAATGAATATTTCATCAATAAAATTATTAAAATAAACCATCGATAAATATATTTCATTGTCTAGAAAAATAAAAAATAAAAATAAACTTTTCTTTCATCACTACTCAATTTTTTGTATATTTCGAAACGTACCCCACTATTCTCTATATCAACGTCTTTCAACACAGTAAAAGACACAAATAAGACAAAAATGTTCTTTTTTTCTAATTATTTATCTTTTGTGTACTTGAAGACTGGACTCATTGTCGTTATCTCTTCTTCTAAACATTTCTAATACCATAGGTAATAATAGAAATGTTGTACATATAGTCCTTGATTATTTCGACAAATACTTGTCATTGAAAAAGCTCTAAATGAAAGTTTTTTTTTGTATGTCTGTGCATTGTCATACGCCACTATTCATTGATGCAGTATACAAAATACTAAAATAATGATCTCAAATAGTTTTGAAACTGACAACAAACATCACTATTCGACTCAGTATGATGAATCATACCTGTATTGAGCTCTGTTGAGTCTTTCAAGGTGAATTTGTTGAAAACGAGTGTCTCGGAAAAACGTGCTAGAAAGTTAGATCGAAA